AAATACCTCTATTGTGATGAAAATGGTCAATGGAATGGTACAACACCTTCTTGTCTAAAAGGTAAATTAAGTATGCTTTTTTTCAGATTCAAATTTGACGACGACATGCTCAAAAGATAAACCATGACTTTTAAGAATAACTGTTAAAGCAGCCGATATCACTTCTCTATTACTGTTAAAATTACTTACCTGCACATGAGTTAATACGCTTACCGAAGAACATTAATATGTCAGAAAGCTGTACGCTAACACAGCTACACATTATTTTTCAAAGATTGTCCTCAAATGAACCGCACTCTAGAAAACGGGCACATTGATGGTAATGGATCCACATCAGGTGCTGTGTATAGCTTTCTTTGCGATGAAGGGTACAGCGTAGATGGAGAAACCTCGCTGCGCTGTGAAAAGGGACTATGGAATGGTAGCATTCCTGTATGTTTAAAAGGTAAGTTAAAGTCTCAGTGTACTGCTTAGTTACCTTTTGTAACGGCCGACCTATTATGCATTAATGCTTTGTTATAATCGCCACCTAATCGAGTTGTGTCTCACAGAAATATAGCAATTAGTAGAAGCAGCAGTAGTAACACAGGAAATAGTGGCATTAACAGTTAATAGTTCTTTTGGTATCGGTAGTGATGTATGTTTTGCCGGTTGTGAAAGAGGTAATGCTCTTGATAGTAGGAGGATAGTTAGCGATATTAAAGTTCTCTATGTTCGTGGTACAGGTGTGGTGGTGATAATTATTGCTTGACTGCGGTAGCAGCGGTGATATTGGCAACCATGGCGATTGTGTAGTGTTGATAGTTTTGATGCCAATTGAGATCATTTTAATGTGAGTGGTGGGTGTTGTGTCATCTTGTTGCGAGTGCGTGAACTAATAGCAGTGGTGGCAATGGTTTAAGCGTAAATAAAAATACCTCTGAAAGTCTTTCATGTGTACTTCCCCCTCACTGAACAACTTTCAATCTACCCCAGCTCGTACAGATAAAGAGGAAAGGGATACAAACGGCTGGTACCTTTACGTCCTAATTGGCGCTGCAATCCTGATTCTGATAATCGCTATTGGCCTGTTGGTAATTTGTTGTCTACGGAAGTTAGGTAAAAAAGATACAGCAACCGCGAAGGGTGACGGAGAGGCAGAACTGGAAGCTATTATTAAACCTTAAGTACCTGTGGATAATAAAGAAGAATGTACCACTGCGCCACAAAGCGATTGCTCTAAAGATCCTGTGGGTGTGGTGTTAATGAAAGATTTCCGTGGACCCTAACTATGTTTTCTGGATTTCAGAGTGTCATGTCTTTGATGTAACTCTTATAAGAGCCCTCTTTAAACGCTTGAATATTCCCGCCGTAACTTAACGCGACATCAAGAGATCCTTCCTTAGTATTTCACTCAATATATGAAATGTCTGTTAAGTTAACTTTTTAAGTGGCCACCTTAACTTAAAGAGATATATTAATAAAAATCCACGCAGAGCGATAAGTTCCATCGACTTACCGTCTTGAAGTAATCCACTTTGAAAAGTGGATCCCCTACACCCAGAACATTGACAGAGTGTCGAGCTTCATTGTTAAGGAGAAAATTGTACGTGCTTGTTGTAATTTATAGAAATTCCCTTATTCATTGTCTTCATTTAAATTTTCATCGTTTTACGAATGTTTGCTTTCGAAAGCAACAATTTTGAGGCTAATATGAGGAGGAATTTAAGCTGTTTTGATTTATAGATTTCATAAAGCATAGTAATTTTTAATTTGACTGTTACATATTTTAAATCAGCGCTCGATTAAGCGCAATTTTTAATTAAAAAACGGCGATTTTTTGGAGGTTTGAAAAAAAAAATTCAACTTCTTGAAAACAAAGCGAATAGTCTCAAAGGTAATCCATTGTTTGCGCTATTATTTTCTTCTAACAAAGGACTGTACGCACAGTAAAGTATGGGGCTGTGCGGAAAGTTTGCCCAAACAGGTTACAGAAATGGTTCACGAATTGTAAACTAATCTATCGTTCATAATCACTTACGGACTCTATAAAACTGCTCTCGATTTCGAAAACTTTAAACAAGAATTATTTACGCTAACAATGTGCTTACCAGCGTGCTTGTGAGCTCATATCGCCAGGAACCCGTTTAATTATACGATTACAGCTCGGACACGTCTTGCAAAATGTGATGACTATCAATTTCAGATATTGATTCTTCAGTTTCCAGCATTGGGGAAAAATTATTGTATTGCAGGCATGTTCATTATAACCCGAGCATTAAGTACGCCTCGAGATGTTGAGCGAAGAGAAATTAGCTCCATGTTTTTTGAGACAAACTATTTCTTCAAGTTCGAACGAATCGAGTACAAAGCATGAAAACATAGCGCTGAAAAGTACCATGACCAAACAATGACATTCACTCCTCCTGCTGCAGGATTAAAACCATTTTACTCTTGAGTTTGTTTGCTCCTCACATTTGCGCTCGGTAATTTGATTCTCAGATGGTTAACGGATTCTCTCATGACAATATTTTCAAAATCAAATTACCACGTCAGACTTAATGTAAACATGAACATCGCTGACGACACAATCTCATTATAATTCAATTTTGAAAAAGGCTGTTACTTCGTTCTTAGGGTAAAACAACAAACCTTCCACAAAGCGTGATTTTTTTAAATGAATAATGTAAACCTTGCGATAGCCAATGCAACTAAAGAGAGAATGACAGAAACTTGCTCACGCCGTTCGTTGTCATTTTAAAACTTTCTAGGTAACATACAATCCGTAAGATAACTTCTTTTCCCTAAACACCACGACTGTATTAAACATTCCAAAAGGTAGGACAACAAATAATTTGAAGAATACGAACACTTTGAAATGTTATTCGAGCGATGAACAGGCGCGAGGGTTTTAAAGCGATGAATGCAAAAGTGATTGTTCTACCGTACCAAAACGTAATTTCAATTACATACTGAAGCTAGTATCAAACGAAGATTGGGGAAAAAATCTTAGAATTTTTCTGAGCCTTAGCGTAACAGAAAACCTAGATAAGACACGAATTACCTCTTCTTTCTCGGATCCTTTGTGGTTCGCTTCTCTATGTTGATGACCCCTTTTCAGTCTGTTTTCTGGAGCTCTTTGTATTTCCTTCTCATGTTGCCCATCGTAAGATGTTCGTGGTAATTCTTGGTTTTCACCCACGTGACTTTTGTCTTGACGACGGTTGCTATCCGCCATGTTGGTGCCCAAACAAATAGTTACATATGTGCTTACAGTAAGGTGAAAGCGAGATAGTATAAATGGTTCACTGCGTAGTTTTCAATTTTCAAGCAGTGCTGGTCAAAAATGGACGTTATTCATTTGCCATATTCAATTACAATCAAATCGTGTGGATAATTAGTATAGACAGCGAGAGCGGAGGGACTGAGGAAGGATTGGGCGGAGCCCCTGTTCAGGTGAGTGTCTGAATAAAGAGTAAGAGAAAATACATTTACATGTAAGAACAGTGAGCCCAGTGGCTTCATTACTACTATCTATAAAATAAAGAAAATAATTATAACCTTGCAGGTTGCAATGAAACGCACCTTCAAGTAACCTGTAGCCTTCAAATATCGTTTCTTCTGCCCTTCCCCTACAGTTATGTAGCCTGCGGGTGCACAAGAGTGCTACGACGGGAGCGGCGAAGCCCGCAGGTTTCGAGCCCACCCGTTTGCAAAGAGCCTGCAAGGGTTCTGCCCCTAAAATAAGACCCCTCTCAGACCTCTTTCCCGCCCGTTTTGCTCGCCAATTCGAATCTCAAGGACCTTATACTCGAGCCACATCTTTAATGAGAGTCTGTACTTCTCAAAAATCTTTTTATTAAATAACATATAGCTGATGGAATACCCAAATATCTTTGGAACGACTTAATTCAATGAACTATAACCATGACACATTCATTGTTATGACACTAAAAAAGGTTAAAACGTCACCTTATTCATGCACTGAGCTCACTTGGAAAAGATTACTCATAGATCCGCAGAGTTGAACCCTTTCCCCTATCTGCAGCTGTGACCGAAATATTACACAATGATGAAGATCTTACCATAACTGTATGGAATTGACCGTAGATTTGACTTTGAATTGCAGGGCGGGTTTATTGCTGGAGATGGGATGAGTTTCTTCGTTATCCTCGGCTCCTGAACAAATGACATCTTCAATCTTCCTTCCACCTCAAACGTTGCTCGAGACGGTCAGAGGATGTTCCGAACCGATGAAGCAAGTGTGGAAGCTGGGGAATGCAATACAAAAGGTACAAATTGTAAACACATGTATAGTTTAAAGAAACATAACGGATTCATAAGCATGGATCTGTAGATGTCGTAGGACATTCAGCGAATACGCCTAAAAAGGGAAAAATAACTTGAATTAAAATAATCTAAATAGGGAGTCAATGGAACAGACCAACAAACTTTGGGGGAAGTGACTTAAAACTGTACGGAAATAATAACTTCATCCCCCATAGTTTTGTTACTGAGCTTCGTTTTTTAAAAGACGTGTATTCCCCTGCAATCATCGTGCAACCTTTACCGCGTGCAACATTAATGCAATTTTTAGCGAAGAGCTAACGTCATCAGTTACCATACCAGTGTTGAACAAGACAGGAAGGCTGTCATTCAGGTATTTGGTCATAAAGGTATACACATCAGGTATTTCATCAACTACAGTCTTTCCAGTCGTCCGTTGAGCTCTTTTTTGTGATCAATGAAAAATGTAAATTGTGTAAATTTAAGGAAAAATTAAAAAGAAGGAGCAGGAATTTTATTTTTTTTTTAGACGAACGATTTAACGTCTACGTCTTTGTTCGACAACCAAGCTCAAAAGCTCAAGTTCTCATCGACAAGCCATGTCTGGCTCAAATAGTTCCGGGGGTGGTAGAATATCTGATAGCAAAATGGAACCTCAGTGAGGTTCGAATCTTCACAAGGCCCTCAGATTTTTACAAGATAATTGAAAGGCAACATGCACCATTGGCTTTGTTCAAGTTCCCATAAATCGATACACTCCCGAGGTCCAGCGAGAGGACGGTAATACGTGGCAGGAGGATTCCACGGTGGACATTAGTTGGGATTCGGGAAGCATCTGAGGACTAGACGAGGAAGTGTCGATTGATTTGACTCGCTATGAAATGGGACATGACGATGTCCCCCGTACTGGACAGCTTCCGCGAAGTGGTAAACAATCAACTTAATTCTGGACATAGTCAGTTTACTGTCACAAAAAGGGAGGGAGACGGGTGAGGGTGATTCTTTTAGCAGTAATGTGCGGGAAAGAAAAAAAATGAAAGAAAATGAAAACAGTTCCTAAATATCTTTCGGTGTTGTTTTGTTAAAAAATTCACTGTTAGGGGAAAGACTATTCGAATGGAGCGCGCGTTCTGTCAATTAAGAATTAAACACAACTCAGTTGTTACGTCATTTGCAATTCATTGTTCGTTTTTTCCAGCGAGTTTTGATTTAAACTGCAAGTTTTGTGTCAGAAAGAAAAGTGTTCTGTTTCGGTAGTCACAACGAAACTGGTTTCAACAACAACTGGCAGCAAAATGGAAATATATCCGAGTAAAGTGCGTGGTAAAGAAGAAAGTGTTTATGACAAAGT